CTTGTTTTTGTGTTGTATGTCATCAGTGTGTTTATTTCGAGTTTGATTGTTCAGTTTGCCATGGACCATTATTATGCAAATTATTATGAGTACAATGTACAATGTTTCTCTACACTGCAAAATCAAGTGTTACTTAGCATTACTGAACTGTGAAGTTTTTGTCCTCTGGTCAACTGCTTTGAAAAACAAGTATACTGAGCACCAGATGGTTTTATTTTCTGCTATTATCTGCACACCTTTAAAACCAAAGTGCTTTTATAATTCTGTCTAGAAAATAAAAAAGAGAATATACATATTCAGTCTGTATATGAAATAACCCAAGAGCACCCAATCCTTCAATCACAGGTCCAGAAATTAGAGGTCTAAAAACACAGAGACAGAAAAGGTTCGTCTTCAGCTGAGTCTGAAATTGTTATCTGAGGTCGGTTGGGAGGTGATTGAAGAGACTGTGGAACAATAGCAACAACACCCACTTTTGAAATGAGCTTAAACTGCAGGATGATCACAAGTGATTAAGAAGGCCTTAATGATCTGGAGGGAAAATACAGACACACTATTTCTACCACATATGCAGGTTTGACACCATTTAGGCTTTAAGAGTGTAGGGGAGTGAAGAGAGAGTCTGCATCTGTAAGATAACATGTATGCAAACAGGAAGAGAAAGTGAAAGGGACAGCTAATAAAGTATGAACCGAGTGTGACAAATGAATATTTGAACGAATTAAGAGAAAAAGACGTGTGAATCCCAGTTTGTATTTTTTGTTTATAAACTCAGGGATTGCAGTGATGCTACAGATTAACATGCTTATTTAATCAGTCAGTTCATGTGGACATAAGCAATGAACATTACTAGAAACGATAGAATTTTTTACTGTCTGTTGGAGGAAAACATCATCCGGCCAACACTTAAACCTTTACAAACAAAACCATTAACTGGGCACTAATTAACTTCCCATGTGAATTAAATGGAGCTCAGCTAGCATAAACATTGTTCACTTTACTCATGAGTTTTTGGTTTGAGAAGAAATTTTAAAAATGTAAGTGTGTTTCACTAACCTGCAGAAACAGATGCTAGAGGCAAAAACAGGAGCAATCTTACAGCAGCCATCTGTAAGCGGAGGGTGGAGAGGGGAGTAGCAGCAGCCTGATAGTGAGACAGAGAGGAAAGCCTACATCAACACCAAGCCTTTTATATAGCGGGGGACTGATCCTAATCTTATCGCTGAAACTGCAGCTGCCACAACACCAATTAGAAATGTTCATTTAACATTTTAGGATATTTATAACCAATCATTTTAACCTTAGAACACTATCACTGGGGGATTTTCACCCGAGCAAATATATTTACACAATTTTCAATATGTTGCATTTGTCATGGGTCCTTGCGTAGCTTCAGCACTGTCTTTGACGTCTTTGAAGGCTGTTTCCCTACCCCAAAGCCCACTTTTTTCCTACAGGCATCTGTTTGGGTTTGTTTGTTTCTTACTCTCTGATTGTGTAATAAAAGTATGAACATGTATTGTATGAAGCGCCTTGAGGCGACTTTTGTTGTGATTTGGCGCTATATAAATAAAATTGAATTGAATTGAACTGAATTATTTATAAGTTACACTTGTGTTTGAATCCTGCAGCTTATCACACATTTGATTTCCATGTGTGACAACTGCAAGTGTCCAGAGTGAGGACAGACTGAGGGACCCACTGCTGCACATCATCTGTGAGGCTTTGCAGCCCTGATGATCCACCAGGACAAACTCAGCAGTGTGTGAGGAAGAGGAGGAGGAAG